GCCATATTTCATTAAAAACTTCCAATATGGGAGAGATACAATAAATATCATGTTTACTATTTAAATTGACATACATATCCCGGAGCACTATACAGCTATGCAGCCCATGGACAGTTGATAGAGATACGACCTATAAACAATGGCAGCTGCTTGCCTATAAACTTGCATGAAGTCCATGAAGTTTAGCAGGTTGAGATTTTTGAGAGGTCTTTTTTAAAGGAATTCACAAGCGCAATGAGATTTGGAAAATAAAAGATACCTCCACTTCAAAGCACGGAGTCTTGAGTTGCTTCGTAGGTAGCGTTTGTCCGTGGGAGTCAGTGTTGTGTATTTGTGTGAAAGCTATACATTTGTGTCTGCTGAAATGCGACTTTTCTGCAATGCCTGTCCAAGAGATTTGAGAGAATGAGATCAAAGCTCACTTTTTGGAGGATTTTAGTGGAAAGCTTTTAAAGAATGAAAATTGCTAGAGTGTGGTCTTGTGTACTCGTATAGCGGCCTAGTTAATTTCCGGGCGGAAATGAGAATTTTAGGCGATATCTATACGAGTACGTTTGACTTTGTAAGAGAATACAAACTTTTAAGAAGATTACGGCCTTAGTGCACACTACAGCGAGATATTTATCCACTCTACTAATCTTTTAAAACGAACGCTTACGTCAAGTAGGAGCTTGACTGTACGTTTTTACAAACTTACTGAGCATCGAGCATCGGTAGACTTAACAAATAACTACTGACAGTGTCGACCAAACTACACGGACAAATTTTAAATGTTTGTACTGTAAAAACTGGCTTACCCATATTCCAGTGTTAAATCGTATTTTGGGTGAGTTCCGTTTCTTAGTAGGGTTTAAGTCACGTGAATATCAAGATTAAAGCAGTCTGTGGCAGGAAAAAAGTCAGTATGCTTCTCTGTCTATTCGACTTCCACTAAAATTTTATACTTGGCAGTCATTTCCTTATGACCGCGGTATGAGTCTGGGCAAGCATTCAATTGAAGGAGTTTTACCTTAATTGTTAGTAATGTGTGCCAGAGGCTGTCTTGCTTGATCGCCTGTCGGGTCTAATGACTTCTACTTGAAATGCATATTTATCAATATTTATCAAGATTCTTTTTGATGTTTACCCTTTTCGAGTGTCTGAGCATCCTCTTAACCCTGAAAAATGTTCAGAATAATGTGTCAGAAACCATAAATTCTGTAACGTGTATTATCACAAACATTAATTCCAAACAAGTTTAATTTTGCCTGATTCTCATTGCTTCCATGCTAAGTGCGTGGGTGCAGGCTCGAAGTAAAGCATTTCTCTCTACCTGTTTTCTGGTCCTGTCCCCGTCTTTAAACAACTTTCTTGTGTACAGATGAGTTTGATCTTTGGCTGCGAACCTGGAAGAGATCATTCTCGCAGTTCTATAGCAAAAGCACATGGAGCTCTAGAGCCGGCTCTCTCCAGCGTGGAAACCAACTGTTTTGCACTTAGAGGAAGTACACTGGAATTGTCTAGGGGAACGCAGTAGCTAGGCTCTTTAAAATTTACTGGTCCAAACTATTTTTAAAAAATCAGCTTTGCGTCGCGAAGTAAAAAAACAGTGTGAAAAATTCAATTGATGAGTCACACATGTCAGAGTTCTTAAGTCATTTAACTCATCTTGTCAAGAAGAAGGAGAAAAAAGAGCAAGATCGAAAAACCGTCGGTTAAAGCTTTTGCATGGATGTTTTGTGTTTTGTAGCTCTGTAGTGGTTTACGACATTAGTATTTTTTTTGTATTCATTATTAAAGTGTGAAAAATTAATAAAAGTTGTTAAATTACAAAAAATGTAGCTCTCTCCGCTAATTTTCGAAGTCATTCCATTATATCCAAAGTTTTTCCTGCCTATCCCTTAAGAAGAGAATCTGTGGAGTGAGAGAAGTAGAATAGGGACTTTCAAGAGGGACTTATTAAAAGACATTGGGTACGAGTACGAGTTTCGCTGTAGTTTTAAACCAGACAATTCGTGTGCGCGCTTTAACCACAAGAGTTTAATGTGTATTTGACTACTGAGATTAATCCAGCAGCCTGTAGCTGAGTACCGCTGAAAAGTAGTGTGGTTACTTAGCAAGAATTAATTCTTCTCTTGGTGAAAAAACAAACAAACAACAACGACAACATTGGCAGAAATCTATGACCAGTTTTCGGCGTTTTGGTATGGATGGAGCTAAGCGAGTTGTTAGAGAATATTGTTTGGACATAGATGGATAATAGAAAAAAGTCAAACTCTGTGCAATATAGCAGACTTCATTGTTTTATTGTTTTAACAATGCAGTCTGCTATATCGCACAGAGTTTGAGTTTGAGTTTCGAGATAAAAAGATGGATTTTTTGAAATCCATCTTCTGATCTTCTCACTTTTGAGACTAGCGCGGCTTTTGTCAACTGAGGGGCCTAAATAGCACAAGTATTTTCGTCATCATTGTGTGGTGGAAACGAGTAGGGATACAATTTCCCCGTTTGCTATGTTTTTTTTTAATTAGCCCCTCTACTTGGTACAACAGTGTGCCACTTTTCATTGAAAATCCATGACAGCTTGTTCATTTATTAGAGAATGACCTTAATCTAAATATTTAGAAAAATGTGGATAAAATTGGTAAAATCTATCAATACCCACCTCATTTGTTTTTCAAAACCTTCCCCTGCCCCAAAGTAACAAATTTAACAAATTTAAGAAACGGTCGAAAAGCAACAACGGCTTTGAACATGCAAAAAGGTGCTAACTTTACTATTGTCTGTACTATATTTCTGATTGGCTTAAACAGCAAAAGTTAAGAAAACTTCAATTCATAAAGCAGTATACACCTATTTCAAAAAAGGTTGTCGGAGAGAACAGCGAATGGCCATCGTACGACCGAAAAGAACTGTGGGTTTTGCATATTGATGGTAAATAATCGCCTATCTAAGTTAGTCAGTAGCTTATGATCACAGACCGAATTGGACTCCACTCAGTCCTGTTACCATTACTAATAGTCTTGAAGTATTTTTCTCTGCCACTCACACTGTTTGAACCTTGTAGAGCTGCATTTATGATGAATTCAAAGATACATTTGAGGAAAAATAGCATAAACGAGTATTTCAAAGCTATTTTGCATTATTTCCGTGTTCATTCACTCTCGGGCTTTATAACGGCCGCTCGATGAACGCGCTCATCTTCTTCGTTGCTCTCGCTGACGTTCAGGTCGCCGTTCTTTCGACGATAAATCTTCCACGGCAAGGATTTCTAGCCACTTGTCGAATCGGGCACTGTTGTGTTTGCAGCCCGCTGTTATTTGCCTCAGAAATACTTATTCCTTGTCTTCATACCCTTAGCCGGTTTTTTACAAATAATATTTACTATTTTTCCGTAATTTTCCTTCTTCGCCCACCTCGCACCCGTTCATAATTCCGTCCTACCATCCTCTTATTTCTCGCGTTCTGTACCCCTCTAACCACTTCAATAATCCTTCGAGCTACCCCATCCCTGTCGTCGTTCTCTAGGTCGTCGTTTTCTAGGTCATCGTTTTCTAGCTCGTCGTTTTCTAGGTCATCGTTTTCTAGACACCCTATTTTTAAGCAATCTTTAGCGATAAATGGTTAGCAAATGGATATTTTACTACAGGGGCGGATGCAGGAATTTTTGATTGGGGAGTCCAAACTTTGTTTCAGAAAGACCTGTTGAACCTTTTTTGTGGCAAATTGCTTCTCACAGAGACGACCACGTGTTCCTCAATCTATGAACGCCGGTCGCCCGTTGCCTATTTCCCTTTCGTTAACGGTCGTGAGTAACGGTCGATGCCACAATTGGTAACCATTTTGGTAACCAAGCCCTTAGTCATGGTAGGTGGCACGTACCAGTTTCCCTCTTTTTTGAAAATTTCAACTTTAAAAGGACAGAGCAAAAAAAAAAATCCGAAGCCATGGCAGCACTTTTGTAGAATTTGATTATACCTTCTATTTCGTCAACACTCAGTGTAGGGATCCCACGAGATTGAACAATACTATCCCAGAAATCAAATGCGAATCCCTTCAGGCTCCTGGCGGACGTGTTTACAATAGCTCTGAGAAAATTTCACTGAATTTCTTCGAAAACTACAGTCCGACGGACTCAATTTGTATATTTCTCTTGTCTCTTCGACTAGAAGAGTAAACAGTTGCTCACTTTGTGGTCAAAATATATTGCAATCAACCGAGGCCCCAACCGAGACCTCATAACATGGCGGGGAGGATCACCTAAACGTCTCCACTGGAGATATTGATTCTGTCCTGGACTCACAGAGTTCGAATCAGGACATAGACAAAACCATAAACCCAAAGAAGAATTTAGTCCCCAGACTACGAGTAGTCCCCCATTTTTCCTCAGAGATAGTATAGCGAGCGAAACGCGAGCGCGCGTGAAAATCACCCCACGCGAGAGAAGGCGACACGCGGCGGGGAGAGAGAAAAATGAGGAAAATGAAGAAAATTAGTATCTGGGTTTTCCTTTGCTTGCAATAAATACCCCCGCAGTTTACCGATGACAAGAGCAATGAGCTCAATGAGGGAAGGAATCCCATTGGATGCACTTAATTGATTTGGAAGGGCCATACGAAATTCACACCCCAAAATCAGTCGGCCGTGAAGGGTCAAAAACTTGGGCTTTGTCTGTAGTCCCTCATTTTTCTCTCTCCCCGCCGCGTGTCGCCTTTTCTCGCGTGGGGTGATTTTCACGTGGGCTCGCGTTTCGCTCGCGCTTCTATCCCTAAGGAAAAATGGGGGACTACTCGTAGTCTATTTAGTCCCTAGCGAAAATTCCGCTTCTCAAACCTCATCAGCGAAGAAGTTAAGAGCGGCAAGGTCCACTGATCAGTCCACTCGTGTTTTGCACGATTTGAAAGAACTGAAAGACCTTCAGCATCAGTCACTGACTTCGATGCAGCAGCTGATTGCTACAATGAACTCCCTGATCAGCCTGATGGAAGTTTTTTTTGTCCCGTAAGAGGAAAAGACATGAAATGAGTGAATCAGAATCAAGCGAGCGCGAACGTGCTGAAATGGTGGGGTGAAACCCGCCCGACATTAAATTTCCAACAAGGTCGATGACCGTTTGGAAACAGCCGCCTCATAAAAGTGCTCCAAAATCGACGAGGATGAAGTCCTCGGAGAACTTACCAAACTTTATCAAACCGAAGGAACGGTAAGCGAGTGAATGCTAAATTGGCTCCGGCGGAGATGGGGGGGGGCGGTACTCGACCAATATTTGGGTATAAATGAGCCGCTGAAGGTTTGAAACCCCGACCCTGTTTACTAAACATAGTGTTTAGGACAAAAAATTCCTAAAATACATACGCTGTTAAGACAACACCTTCAATTTTAGTACCCTGTTTATAATTAGAACAGACTAGCACAAATTATGCACACTGTTTAGGAGAGACTTGCGCGAAATTGTATACCCTGTTAGGACAGAGAGGACGAAATCCATACCCTGTCCATATAAGGGAGTACCCCTTCCCCGGGAAATTAGCCTCTCTTGTTGACAAAATGGTCAAAGCAAGCTTCAGTGAAGAGAAAACAAAGGAAAAATACGAGAAATACAACACACCAGAAAACTGTAAAAACCGTACAAGCACAAAAGTAAATCCAGAAATATGGAGAAAGGTTAGATCTAATACTAGATCCAGAGATTTGAGGATGAAAAACTGGAAACAAACCTTCTTAAGAGCACGATTCCCCGGCGGCATTGTCAAAATTGCTGACAAGTTGCTGGAGTTAAAATCTAACTCCAAATCTGCATCAACGAGTGATGTGTCTGAGTTCTTGAACTCTCACTAGTCTCCCTAGCTCTTCTGGGACACTCTATTAATGATCATGAGGTTAATTTCATAGGACATGAGCTTATAAAACCTGATCTAAATGATCAGTTCAAACAACTATGCAGCTCACAAAACCCAGTAACCAAAATGCTATTTTTGCCAAAGTCAGTGAAGTAAATTTCTGAAACCAATAAAGTGAGTGTCAACGTTTCATCAAAGCACCCAGCATTTAATACCACAGACATTAAAGAAGGCCGAACTTTCCTCATCGCCGGCACAATCAGAATCATAAGCCATTTTTATATAACTGTTAGGGTCCGGTCAGGTGAAGAGATCACTCCAGGACCACAAAAGGAAGGGGAAACCCGAACAACAACAGTAGCACTCTGTACTACTAAGTCTCAAGACCACCTAGATTCCCAGGCGACTAGTCTTGATGATGATACCAATCATGACAACACAATTACTGTACCATTTGTTGCCGGTAAACCGAAAGTGTGCTGTAAAGGGTGTTAAATTTGAGTTTGCTACTTATCCAACGCGGACCATTATTCCCCGAGAATACAATTCCAATACAACCTAGGTTATTATTATTGACAACCAAATATAAAAGTTTTTAAAGACAGGAGTTATTGAGAAAGCAACAAATTCCAAGGAAGAATACGTACATCTGAAAGATGGCTCATATCGACTGATACTCAGTTTGAAATTTCTGAATGAGTTTGTGGAATACCACCAATTTAAAATGGAAAATCTTAAAAGTGCTATTTGCAGTTTACTTGTCTTCCAAATGGATTAAGTAGTGCTTCAAGAATATTCACAAAACTTCTGAAACCAGCATATTCTGTTTTACGGAGCAAAGGTTTTGAAAACGTGGCATATATTGATGACACTTGTCTCAAAGGGAACAGCTTTTCTTATTGTGAAACAAATATATCTTCCACAGTCAGGTTATTTACAGACTTAGGTCTGACACTAAATATGACAAAATCAGTCCCTATACCAATTCAGGTCATCACTTTTCTTGGATCTAGCCGGATTTATGAAAACCGTAACATCGGACACCAGGAGCCCACACACCTTAAACTGACTCAACTAAAGTAAATATCGCCAAGAAACTCAGCTCTTACCCATGGTTCTCTTAAGGTGACTCTCTTCTTGGTTCCTGATTAGCAAAAGAAACATTCAAGTCCATCAAAAAGACACTCTGGACTTGTCCATACACTCTAGCTGCTTAAAGGCCCTGAATGACGGAGGACGCTTGAGACTTCAGCAAGTTCTAAGCAGAGAATTCAAGGTTAAGTCACCCCCTGACTTCCTCTCCCCCCCAGCCTAGCACGTGCTTGAGGGGAATGCTTTCATTGGCCAATGGGCCTCAAACGTCACAAGAATTTCACATGACAAACTAAAGGCAGACGTGACCAGTGCACTGACTCTCCCAGACCAGGACTAACGGAAGGTACAACGCTTTTGCAGCAGCCTCCCCCCTAGGGATTGACGTGGAGGCCCCTTTCCAACCCATGGCGAGTTAGCTCAGGGACTGAACTTGACAATGAGACCAAGCAGGACAGCAAGCCCCCTATGTTTTCTCTCAGCGCAGTGACCAGAAAGCTGGCTATGGCCAGCTTTCTGTGCGAATATTCTGGTGCATTTTCAGGTAGGTTTTCAAAAATTCGGCTAGATGTTGACGACAAATGCTGTCTTTTCCAAGAAGGAGGTCACCTCGGGCCAAATCTGCCTCCTCCCAACCCAGTTTGGCCCCATTTCTCCCCTCCCGACAGCATTCAACGACATCATCTAGCCGGATTTATGAAAACCGTAACATCGGACACCAGGAGCCCACACACCTTAAACTGACTCAACTAAAGTAAATATCGCCAAGAAACTCAGCTCTTACCCATGGTTCTCTTAAGGTGACTCTCTTCTTGGTTCCTGATTAGCAAAAGAAACATTCAAGTCCATCAAAAAGACACTCTGGACTTGTCCATACACTCTAGCTGCTTAAAGGCCCTGAATGACGGAGGACGCTTGAGACTTCAGCAAGTTCTAAGCAGAGAATTCAAGGTTAAGTCACCCCCTGACTTCCTCCCCCCCCAGCCTAGCACGTGCTTGAGGGGAATGCTTTCATTGGCCAATGGGCCTCAAACGTCACAAGAATTTCACATGACAAACTAAAGGCAGACGTGACCAGTGCACTGACTCTCCCAGACCAGGACTAACGGAAGGTACAACGCTTTTGCAGCAGCCTCCCCCCTAGGGATTGACGTGGAGGCCCCTTTCCAACCCATGGCGAGTTAGCTCAGGGACTGAACTTGACAATGAGACCAAGCAGGACAGCAAGCCCCCTATGTTTTCTCTCAGCGCAGTGACCAGAAAGCTGGCTATGGCCAGCTTTCTGTGCGAATATTCTGGTGCATTTTCAGGTAGGTTTTCAAAAATTCGGCTAGATGTTGACGACAAATGCTGTCTTTTCCAAGAAGGAGGTCACCTCGGGCCAAATCTGCCTCCTCCCAACCCAGTTTGGCCCCATTTCTCCCCTCCCGACAGCATTCAACGACATCATCTAGCCGGATTTATGAAAACCGTAACATCGGACACCAGGAGCCCACACACCTTAAACTGACTCAACTAAAGTAAATATCGCCAAGAAACTCAGCTCTTACCCATGGTTCTCTTAAGGTGACTCTCTTCTTGGTTCCTGATTAGCAAAAGAAACATTCAAGTCCATCAAAAGACACTCTGGACTTGTCCATACACTCTAGCTGCTTAAAGGCCCTGAATGACGGAGGACGCTTGAGACTTCAGCAAGTTCTAAGCAGAGAATTCAAGGTTAAGTCACCCCCCTGACTTCCTCCACCCCCAGCCTAGCACGTGCTTGAGGGGAATGCTTTCATTGGCCAATGGGCCTCAAACGTCACAAGAATTTCACATGACAAACTAAAGGCAGACGTGACCAGTGCACTGACTCTCCCAGACCAGGACTAACGGAAGGTACAACGCTTTTGCAGCAGCCTCCCCCCTAGGGATTGACGTGGAGGCCCCTTTCCAACCCATGGCGAGTTAGCTCAGGGACTGAACTTGACAATGAGACCAAGCAGGACAGCAAGCCCCCTATGTTTTCTCTCAGCGCAGTGACCAGAAAGCTGGCTATGGCCAGCCTTTTCTGTGCGAATATTCTGGTGCATTTTCAGGTAGGTTTTCAAAAATTCGGCTAGATGTTGACGACAAATGCTGTCTTTTCCAAGAAGGAGGTCACCTCGGGCCAAATCTGCCTCCTCCCAACCCAGTTTGGCCCCATTTCTCCCCTCCCGACAGCATTCAACGACATCATCTAGCCGGATTTATGAAAACCGTAACATCGGACACCAGGAGCCCACACACCTTAAACTGACTCAACTAAAGTAAATATCGCCAAGAAACTCAGCTCTTACCCATGGTTCTCTTAAGGTGACTCTCTTCTTGGTTCCTGATTAGCAAAAGAAACATTCAAGTCCATCAAAAAGACACTCTGGACTTGTCCATACACTCTAGCTGCTTAAAGGCCCTGAATGACGGAGGACGCTTGAGACTTCAGCAAGTTCTAAGCAGAGAATTCAAGGTTAAGTCACCCCCCCTGACTTCCTCCCCCCCCCCACCCTAGCACGTGCTTGAGGGGAATGCTTTCATTGGCCAATGGGCCTCAAACGTCACAAGAATTTCACATGACAAACTAAAGGCAGACGTGACCAGTGCACTGACTCCCCCAGACCAGGACTAACGGAAGGTACAACGCTTTTGCAGCAGCCTCCCCCCCTAGGGATTGACGTGGAGGCCCCTTTCCAACCCATGGCGAGTTAGCTCAGGGACTGAACTTGACAATGAGACCAAGCAGGACAGCAAGCCCCCTATGTTTTCTCTCAGCGCAGTGACCAGAAAGCTGGCTATGGCCAGCTTTCTGTGCGAATATTCTGGTGCATTTTCAGGTATGCGGATACTTTTCACAATAAATTTGTTGCATAATTTTTATTACATTATATTGTGTTATGTAATTTTTTTGGCATTTTAGTGACTGTTAAGGACTATTGGTTGATAACTAGATATCAAAATTTCACTGCAAAAATAAAGATTATCAATAATAATATTTAATTATTATTTTTATTGCTACTTGTATTATCATTATTGTTATGATGATGTCTCTGATAGCTGAGGGCTAGTAGATTTTTCTATCATGAAGGCAAGTGAAATCTGTTCTTAATTTTATTAACTTGCTGTATGGGCAAGTGAATTGTTTGTTTAAGGGAAGGGGAATTTAAATTACAGAAGAACTGTAATCAGCCTGGTTTGTCAACAAGGAAGTTAAAATGCATTGAACTCTTGTACAAGACATGCTAGCTACATGTAGCTAGCATGCAGCTTGTCTAAAAGTCAAACTGTAAAACTGACTTTCTTAATTCACCTTAGCTAAAATAGGTGTTGGTTAGGTAACACAGTAATAGATACTTTTTCTTTTTTTACACTTAAGTTCTTTTATAACTTTTTCCTCGTGTTTAAAGCATCCAGTTATTATATGCAAATTAAAGTTAACTGGGTAATTACATTTAAACCTCAATTTCTAACTGTAAAAGGTTAAAAAACCCTGTGTTATCTTAAACCTGAGCTTTGAAAAACCCAACCGAACATTGATTTGTCATAAATTAAAAGACTGTTAGAATCTACATGTAATAATAAAATGTTGTGCAACTGCTTTTTCAACATGTGTATGTATTCGTTCATGTGTGGGACTTAAAACATGTGAACAAGTTAGGTAATGCTACATGACTGCTTGTTGCGATAACGGTTCACTTTGCTATACAACAGAATAATGCTGCAAGGTAGCTAAAGCTTAGAGTTAACCTCCATACAATTTCAGCCTCTATTAACTTGATAAACTGTAGGTTCAATTACTAGCTACTGTTCACTAAATAGGGCCAGGTTACACACCCGAAAAAACTCATGTTAGGGATAGAAAATAGACCTTATAGGCACAAGCTAATTATGAGAAGAGCATCAGGGTAAACTAAAGGTGAACAAAATAAGATGCATTTGCAGAGGAGAATTGAGTAATACCAAATGCAACTGCTATGGTGACTTATCAAGCAATCCCCTGATGTATATTAAATTAGCCAGCCACTTTCTAATGTAAAATTCTTTAAGTGTGGTGACTGATAATATAAATTCTATTTTGATAGACTGGCATGTGATAGTTGGGCTCATAATATTTTTTTGAGGTACAGGATTGAACGACTTAATGTAGTGAGCAGCAGTTTAAGTTTCCGCGAAGGAATCACATAAATAACACAATTTTTGTGTGAAATGATATGTCATTACTGGTTCATATTGCTTAGTCAGATTATGTTGATTTATATCAGCATCACGGAAAATTTAGTATTATCTTTATTTTCAACAATACTGTAATGAAATTTGGGTTGCCATTAAGAGGCCGGGGGCGCAGATTTCCCCCCGCTACTTTCATAGGAATTAGAAGAAAAATAGAACCAAAAGAAATCCCTAGCTGTTTGATTCCCCGCCTACTTGTTGTATTTACCCGGCAACTTGAAATCTTAGTGACAGCCCTGGAAATTGTACTTTAGCATGAAAACTTGGGTTGACATACTCTTGTGTATTGGAAAACTGCCTTGAAAAAAAGGGTAAATACAATAATTGTTCTATAAGTGATGGTAAAAGGACTGAGTGGAGTTCAGTTTGGTTTGTAATCATACAAGTGATTAACAGAAGCAGACAACCGCGTTGCGGGAGTCCGAATTCTTTAATCATGGGTACGATTACAGACCAAAATGTGCGACACAAAGTTCTGTTACCAATTAATCATAACTTAAACAAAATTTGTGATATATTATTAGGCTATTTTTTAAGATCAAAACACAAGCTTTTTTTTGCCAGCAGTGAAAAAAAGCCATTTTAAGCGCGCACGTGATGGCATGCACTGTTCAATTACTTAGGCATGACTCGTACTGTTATGTTAAACTGTCCTATTAAGGCTGAAATCAGGGCATTTGACAGCCAAACAGATGTAAGAATTTTTATAGTTATGATTATGCATGCAACTAGAATGTCTTGACAATACCGTATATCATCATTAGCAAGTGCATTACTTCTTTGCCTCCATACATAAAAGATGGTTTCCTTGGGAGTTTACAGATGGACATATGCACTCAGGGGAGTGGGGGCGGGGAAACGTCCATGTTTGGCTGACACTCCAAATGTGCCCCTCTGCATAGTATCTAGTTTTATGCAACTAACAAAAGTATTAAATTACACAATTTAGCTTCTTAAACAAGGTTTCAATTTTAAAGCATTAATCTTGCCATAAACAAGGTCAGAATCAAAGGGTTTCAGCAGCACAACCCCAACAAAACTTATTTTAAATCACCACCCCCCGGGAAGTTTCTTCCCTGTGTAAATGTACATCGTGATATACACAATCATGATACAAGATTTGTCAGTAATCTGAACTATTTAAGGCCAAGAGTATCCACCAACTTAGGTAAGATGTCGCTTAAATTCTCCGCTCCAAAAATCTGGGAGAATGTACCGCCTGGTCTCAAGTGTGTGCCATATCATAAGTTTACGAAAGAATGGAAGTCCTGTCTCCTAATCAACCAAATCTGACCCTGCTTATAAGTTCTATCACTGATATTATCTGAGTTTTTATTCCTCTCTTTACTGCTGCCAATTATTTCAACATGACGGTGTCCAACAAGAAAGCTCTTGCTACTTTGGACACTGTACACAAATGAACTTAATGTCTTTTAGTTAATTATTATTTGTCAGCTACTTTATTTTCCTACCTACGTACACTTATGTAAATATCTTATATAGTGTGAAATAAAGAATTGAATTGATAACTACACAAAGCCAGCTTTGACAGTTTCTTCTGATTTAATATTATCTGCATATGACTTATTTTAAGGTCAGCATAACTTATAATTGCTGTCACAAAGTTGACAAATTATTGGAATAGTCTTGTTATTAAAAATGGTTTTGCTCCAGGTTTTTGAGGTTGTAATGTGACAGGTTTTTTTTTTTTTTTCCTGAACACTTAAGAAAGGTACCTTACACCCGGAACATGGCATCGATGACACTTTTACGTGTAGAATATGTGTTAGAATACCATACCTAAGACAGCATGCTGATTTTATTTTTTTTTTTTTAACACTGAAAGCAAATGGTTGGAGTCTTAAAAAGGACTTCAAACACTCATTTCAGATTAAACACACAGTTCAAATGGCACAACGTTTGAATTTCCGGTTAAAAGACTCATAATTCTGTCTAAGATGAATGGATCATGCACTCATTTAGTACTTACAAAACTGTGGTTTAAGTCTAAAGTATGACTTCAGATCATTTCAGATATAAAACACACAATTGGATCAACATTCAAATTTTCGTTCAATTTTCTTCCAAGTTTTTGTCGACCAGGAAAACTTTACAGGCAGGTACAAAACACGGACTCGAATCATTGACATATTTGCCAGACAACTGAGGTCCCATTTGTCTTCCATATAAAGTAACATGTATCAGATAAACTGTAGGTGTAGTATTAGGTTTTTACTGCTTACAAACAGTCTGTAGATCTTCGACTTACAAAAGCATATAGACAAAACATATAAATAGAAAAATTAAACAAACGTCTTATAGACTTGCGTTAATCAGTAACCGAAAGAGAAATAAAAAAAACACACGACACCATGCACACAGATAAACCGACCACAGAGCAAAGTAATAGAAGTCACAATAACGCTTTTTCAAGGACATTGAGCCGCCTCCTCTTTTATCAGAGCAAAAAAAACGGCGAAGCGAAGGCGTTTCTAAATTCTTTTATGCTCGAATGTCCGCGCCTCTTCGCAGCGTAAGCATTCATTCAAGAATTTGTGTCGGCAAGAGTGCTACGTATTTGCAGCTTCTTATTAAAGAGAATGAGGTTTTTCTAATCATTAACTTTATACCAGATTGATTTGTAACTTAAGGCTACTAAGAGTTACTTACTTCTTACTGCCACAGCGAAAGATTCCAAACTGGAACTGGTTGCACAGCGAACAACAACAACAACACTCTGCTTGAGCTCTCCCAGGGCGCTTTGACAGGAGCGCGCGCAAAATCATCAACCAATCACGAAGTCACAACATCAACGCATGACAACAGCCAAGGCGCCCATTTCTCGAACTTCCTGGTGACAACGCTCCCGCGGTTCTGTTGTTTCAAAAACATTTTCACCCTGACCCAAAACCTTATTTATACAATGTTAGCGAGTTTTGAACAAAAAGTCCCTTTCCCACGCTCAGGCTTGACTGTCTTTTCCACGCATGTGTATACCACTTTCGCGCAAGCTTCAGCCATGTCCGAACCAGTTAATGTGCGAAGGATTATTTTTAAAGCACAGACGTGCAGGAAAATGTCCGTTTCTGGATAAATTTATTGCCCTCTCTCTTGCGCCGTGTAGGGGGGGGGCTTTTTAACGACAAAGGAAATTTTTACCGAGTTTTGTACGGTTGTAGCTTTGTGGACGGATGGTGATAGTGTGGATGGGCAGACATCCCATCTTATGAAAGAAAAAAGCTTCCATAAGGTAAGATTACAACTTATACATTTTGTCTAAATGAAAACAGCGCTAATGAATTTAAGAGCTTACCTATAATTATAAGCAGGGACTCGTCACACTTTGGCCACCGATCGTTTGTTCAAAACAAAATGTCACAGACAATGCGAAAAGGTATTTGAAGTAACGTCTCTCCCCGTCTTTTCCATCCTTAAAAAGGAAAACAAGTAAACAAGTAATAAAATTGTTTGATGAATACTTGCATGACTAATATTTTCTGTTTTCTGAAACTGTTTTGATTTCAAAGTCATATTAGTCCGACACTCTGTGGAGAAAAGTTCACCGACACTAGCTGTTGTCGATACCACGTGGTCGAATTTTATTTTTTTTCCATACCGGCTCTTACTATGTTCGATTTCATTTCATATGTTTTTGAATACCGTTCAGCCTGAGGTTTTCTTTGTAACAGCCTGAGGTTTTCATTGTAATAGCCAAAGCTTTTTTGTAAAAAAAAAAAAAAAAAGAAACGTATGCATGACCAGTCCAATTTTCACACGCGGCAATGACCGTGTACAAAAACGCAAAGCATGAGAATGACGTTTAAAATTTTTGGCATTCTCACGTGAAAAATATCGCGTGCAGGGGCAATAGCATTATAATAACAATTTTATCATTTTAATTTCTAAATATATTCCTATTCCCTATTGCCGGGGAAATCTAATATTTTTAACACATTAAATGACAATCTGTTTCATTCTACGGTTAATTTTTTTTGCTCAGGGAACGGGCGAAAGTTATGAGTTATGAGTTTACTGTATCACGGCTATGTGCGCAAACTGCATTACAGCATTGACTAAGTGAGTCTTTTATTTTCCATTTTCCTATTTACAGCAATTTAATAAGGTCATCTTGGGTTTGGGGTGGGACGATGTGAGGAAAACAAAGAGAGGTGGCCAAAGGGGATACGAGGGGCTTTCCGTCAAAAGAGCCCCGAGGAGGCAGCCCGGTTTCGAATTTGGCGGAAGGCAGATGTTGGAAAGTATTGCCAACTTTATGAGGATAAACCCACCGCCTCTCCCTCCCATCGAGGTAATTATGTTTTTTGGCATAATAAAAAGCCCCTTACACACTAATCCGGACATGTTTAATTGAAATCATGATAATTGTTTTACCCAGACCTGAAGCGGTCTTAAACTAAAACTGGAGAAAGGTTAAAAAAAGATGCGGCTTCGAGTGAGGGAATTAGGGGGTTCACTTGTTTCGTTGGGATGCAATTATTGCCTATTCTTGAAAACAAAAGATGTGGTTTCTAAAATATGCGGATTCATGTCAGTGGATCAGAAATTGGCCCAAAAAATAGCGAATTAAGATATAAAAGAACTTAAGAGATCTGTTCTAAGGTCTTTGTTTATGGCAAAGAATAGTCAAGAGAGAATGATTCTCTCTTGGAATAGTATCTCTTGAAACAGCTTACTCTTTGTGCTATTTCTTTATGATAGCTACATTCAGTACCAAGCGATCCCCGAAATGCCGGAATTTGTGCATTCGCTAGTAGGGATATCGAGAGGGGAGAGGTGGTGGTAGAATACGATGGAGAAAGGGTGGAAATGGAGGAAGCAGCTAGGAGAGAGGAGAGGTACGCCGAGGCAGGGAGGCCCTGCACTCTTATGGTTATCGAGAGCGCAGGGCAACAAGTAGCGTAAGTACATGTAGCATTTCAATAACATCTTGGTTACAACGTTGAACGTGTCTGAGTTCCTGCTACAAAATAACAGTTAACTGCATTCTTTTTTATTTTCAGGATCGACCCCTACAGAGGCAATCAAGAACTAGAGATACCATGGGCGGCCTGCATTAACCACTCTTTAAGGCATGCAAACCTGAGGCCATATGTGGCTAATAAGAACACGCCACATCCACGGGTCTTTTTCGTTGCACTCCACGATATTCCACAAACTGTGGAATTTTTGTGGAACTATAACGACCCTAGCGCGGAATTCTACAACAGCAGCCAGACACTACCCTAGAATCCTGAGAGCTGTTGTTTGAGCTTTGAAAATCCACTTGTAACCAATACCCTCTGATAGGTTGGGACTACCTAACTGACATATTTTCTGTTAAGGGACAATATTATCGAAGCAATGGTTTTAACTGATTAAAAAGAACAGTGTCGCAAGGGGTTAGGAACCTAACTGTAATGCGTTGTGGAGAAAGAATCACAAAAGTTTATAGTGTCAGCGACGTTAGCTACTGTGTTGTAAAAAAATAATGCACCTTCTTTTCAGAAAAGACTGGAGCTGACTTTCTGAGCGCTTGACGAAGTCCTAATGCTAAAAACGTCAAATTTTTAACTTTTCACGGGCGACGTATAAGTCACTTGAAATCAAATAAACAAATCAGTTATCGTAGTTAAGTATACTAACCCCTTAGCTAGTTGCTTGATTTTTACATTGCTTGAAATTCATTCTTATTTCCGATACAAGCTGAATTCATTGTTTCGCAGATTTACAAGATTTTCGTTTATATGTAAGTTCATTAACGAGTTGAATTGAAAAGAAAATTCGGTGTTTTGCAGCTCAAATAACAAGGGTAGTTGTCTGAAATAAGGTGCAATGTTTAAATGTTTTTTTTTGTTCGTTTCTTTGTTTTGCTTTTTTTGTTTTCGGAGGTGAAAAATTGTTTTTGTTGTTGTTGTTGTTGTTTTTTTTTAACAAGCTGTCCGTTGGTGGGATTCATGCGCTAGGAGACTTATATCAGAGTGCACCGTTGACCACTGGCCAAGGTCGGCGGGCCAAGAAGGAAAAGTATACCATCGTATAAAAGTTACTGTAAAAACCCGCCAAAATGACCAATGTATTCATTTTTCAATATACCTATAGTTTAAAGAGACCTACATCTGATTTCAAGGAACGTAAATATCGTTTATCGTAGAATTATGAGCCTTGGCCGACCCTGGGTGGCCTGAGTGTGAGATAGTAAGATACAATCACACCATCACAGGTAGCCCAAGCTCGAAATACGAGCATCGCCATTGTGGCGTAAAATTCGAAATACGACGGAATATAAGGAGTTGTACGAGAATAAAAGGCTATCGTTTCGGTAACCTACGAAAATGAAAGATTTCAATAAAAAGACAGCTTACTTTAATTAAAATGTAAGTTACGTTTCTCCTGTGTGGTCCACGGGCCAATTTATGACCGTTTCTTGATGTAATGTAAACGGTTTTCTTTGTATAATATATCAGAGAAGAAAACTATTTACATTACTACCCATAAAATGGCCATAAATCGGCCGTGGACTACACAGGATTTGAGAGACATAACACACATTTTAAGTAAGGTAAGCTATATTTTGGATTGAAAACCTTTCATTTCCGTGGGTTACAGAAAAATACAAATCCTTATATTTCCGTTGTATTTCGAATGTTACCCAACAATGCCGATGCTCATATTTTTAGAGCTTGGGCTACCTGAAATTTAATGAGAGTGATTGTGATATGAAGAATTATGCATAACACAGGGGTTTATAATCAGGCGTTAAGTTAACAGAGAAATTTATAGCAACGTTTACGGCAAACGGCAAGCGTTAATTTGTACCTTGTGGGTTCTCCCTTTTATTGTGGTTTACTGTACATAACTTATCCAATTGCAAAAAAAGGTAGTCGTTTCACGCCAGTTTTATCCATAATCCGTGTTGATTTAAGCCGCTCTTATTTGCTTATTTTCTATTTTTAATTGAATCTGACGTTTCCCGTTTGCTGTTAACGAGACTCTAAATGTCTGTAATGACTAATAATAATAATAATTATAATGATGATGATGATAATAATAATAATAATGATAATAATAATATAGCAAGAAAATTGCATACGGATATGCTTGGTATGCACAACAAGTCAGACAAACTATAAATATTTCGACGTGGCCCCAGTTGTTCAAAAGGTGGATAGCGCTATGCGATGACCTATGGATAAATCTCTATTCAGTGGATAACGCAATTGGTTTCCATGATTACCTCTAGTACTTATGCGCTGGATAGAGATTTATTCGGTCGATAGGGCTGTCCATCTTTAAAACATCCGGGGCGTGATGCCCAAAGGATACCGTGCACGCGCAAAGGAAGGATAACACCGCGATGCATAATTCTTCATATCACACGAAAGCCGAATTTTCTTAAGTACCCTGTGTTAGACGCCCCGTTCCCTAAAAAAGAGGGCGGCGTATGTACACAGGCTATTCTTAAGGGTCTTGTTCGTTCAGACGTCGTCGGTACTTTGTGCTTCAGTGGAGTGCCCATGGTGTTTTACCACCATGATGTGCCGCCGAGCCCTCCAAACTCTCACCCTGTTTAACACAAAAATTGATCATTTTATTACCCTGTTTAAGACAACAAAGCTCTAATTTCACGACTCTAATCAGTTTTGTTTCGGTCAAAACATAAGTGTTTTTTTTACACTAACATCAAGGTTTTTTAATTTTTATAAATACTTGTTGGTACTTGAGTGGCCCAGTATTGCAGTCAGAACATCAAGCCTCCGTTCATGTAAGTCCCCGTTCCCTTCGTCACGGCCTTCTTCGGTCCTTTGTTTCTCAACAGTTTCAACTGTGTTTCAGGATGTAAAATGCTGTTTATTCGGGCATAATAGTACGTACTAAACTAAAGCACATTATCCGCCGTGCGCTATTATGTCTATTGTTGTTATGTTTTGAGCCAGTGATTGGGTACTTCGACTTTACATACTGTTAAAACCTTCGCCCGCAAAAACTTTATAACGATGAAGGTTCAAATCGGCAAATTAACTCTCACTTTTAAGAAGTTATTAACCTTTTTTCAACAGAGGCTTGAAACAGATATTTTTCTTTGTTTTAAAAGATCCACTTTCTCTGTATTTTAAAATAAGAGGCGTTTTAAAGCAGAAGGTATTTTTGAGGTTAGAAATACTTATAAATAGGTCTAATCGCCTCCTTGAGTCGTTCCAACTTGGATCGCAGCTAGGGAAAGTCGGTCTATAGGAAATAGAGTAATTTTTTCTCCACTCTACACTAAATGCCTTGTTGATACGTTTCATAGTAGCCAACTATGTACTACAGTGAATTCTAATTTTTCTCTTTAGAAGTTTAATAAAACGCCTAAGCTTGCATGCATTTAGAGTTTTCATAGCGCACATTAAAGTTGTGCCCCGAAGAGTCGTTATTTATTTACCTGCAGTATCAATTTTCCCACTACCCTGGGCACCAAAGGTTTATTCTCTGTTTCCTCGTGAACGACAAAAGTCTTCGCCGAAGGTCATGTTTTTATGAACACTTTACCGAAGAAACCGGAAACCCTCCATTACGAATCCCTGGCACCCAGGGTTGTACAGCGCAGACGGTCTTGTAGTGCTTTATAGTCTCGACTTATCAAGTAAATATTATTGCATGGTAACTGAAGGGTGTCCTTTCAGCCTTGCGGATGCTCGAGACTGACAAGGGTTCTTAAAAGTCACGATCTGAAACAAGTCATTTTTACAATTCTCATTATCGTATCGGGTGCTCTGTTTTTTTCTTTGAGCTTTCCTAGAATTTATGAACATTTTCAATTATTCGTTTCTTCTCCGGCCCCTCTATCTCTGTGATTCTAGTCAATTTAATGTCAATCATGTCAATAATCTTCACATCTTGGTCATAGGGAAGTAGCGGAATAGAATATGCAATTTTTCAATAGTAATCAGTAAATTCCAACTTTATTTATTTGCAACTTGAAAGAATAAAAACTTCGTACATTTGCTTTAACAAGTTATACGATAGCTTTTTCAGAAACGTAAAAATCAAAATTCACTTGCACTCGTGCAGATCAATCATCAGTTGCGTCCTCGTCACTGCATGACATGGCAGCGTAAAACCTTTTGGCAGCCTCTGATAAATATTTCTGAGCAAGTTTTTCGCAATCTTGTTTAACTTTCAAGGGAACAAGTCTTTTATCTAGATTAACAGGAGATAACATGTCGGGTTTTAGCTGTACACCTTGCTTTTTCTTGGAAAAAGAAACCGATGTTGGTTTTTCCATAGCATCTACTTTGAATCGTACGAAAGCGCCGTCATGTCTCACAAGTTTCAAGTTGCCCCTCTCATCAGCTACTTCTCCATATCCATAGTTGATCCACGCGATCTTTTTCACTTCGAATTTGTTGCCCTCCGTATCAAAATTTCTGCTCACGTAGTGCATTTTTAAGAAACTTTTGTAATCCATTATTACTTCCGAAGTGATCCAGTGTACCTTAATGTTTTTTAAGTCACTGTTTTTCAAGAGTGTAGCCCATTCTTGTGGCACTTCGACTTTTTCGTGAGTGTCAAAAAACTGTTGTATGCTGCCAAAACGACGATCACAAATGCTGTAGCTATGTCCTTCTACCAAAAATTTTAGGTCGATTCTTAGAAAATATTTATTTTTTACAAGATGATCTAGGTAAAAGAAAAAGAAACACTCTTTAAATTGACTTGGTGCGTTATCTGTCCAAACAATGAGCTGGTCAAATGTTCCGTACTGTTCCATGAGCTTCGTCAGAGTAGAATGCAACAAGGAAATTACTTCATTGGGTCCTGCTCCAGCAACAGTGTCATCGTAGAAATAGCAGTGCAGACAGTCTTCATTGGCAACATAAACTCCAAGAAAGGCCTACTCTGGGACCTAAACTCGCCTTAACTCGCCTTAACTCGCCCTAACTCGCCGCTTGCGATTATGTGCAAATTTCCTTATCTCGCCTTATCTCGCCTTAACTCGCCTAAACTCGCCTACTCTCGCCACTGCCAAGTGGATACCAATTTCAATGGGCGTGATCCATTTAACCAGACTTCAGATTGGTCCGACTGGAGGTGGTCCACCTGAAAGGTGGACCAGTTTTTTCGAAACTTTTCCAGTTGGACCGAACCGATCCATTGAGTTTTGTACCCAGATTTCCGGAAATTTTGGTTGAATGGATCGCATGTAATCATCCATCCCACTCTCAGGATAATTTCACAATTAATCCACAAAGACAAGACACCAAAAA